ATGCCAGACAAGCTACATACAGTCCTGGAAATAAGATATAAAACGTAACTTCACCTTGGATACTTTATATGTATTATTTCTCATATTGCCTAGATATTGCCTATCCTCTGTTCAGCAAAGTATGAATATTTTTTTTCCTAGTATCCAGAGGGTAAGAAACATGTATAGAATACAAAACAGATTTTTTTATCATTTTAAAGTGAACACGAGCAATTATTTTAAATGTAGACCAAGATGTTAAGAAATATTAGCTCGCTATGGGCCAAATTTTACTCTCATTTACAGGATTGTAAAAGCTGAATAACTCCATTTGCCTCAATGGAGTATTTCCAGATTTACTCCTCTCAAATGATTTCACTAGAGTTTCTTTGAATTTACACCACTCTGAGAGCAGAATTTGGCCCAGCATTCACTCAAGTTAGTTTAGCATGTAAGTCTAAGTCCTTACTTATTTCACTAAGTAGGGAAAAAGGGCCCTAACAACTGTGACAACCAATATCACTTCACATGGGAGGCAAAATAACTATAATTATTCTTTGCAAAATACTTCTCTGGACACAAAATGAAATCTAGTTAAGCTTTGGTCTGTAGGTAATATCATTTATACTTTTAATACATACACTGAAAAATAAAATAACCTTCAATATGTTTGTGTCCGGAGTCAGATGTATAGTGGCAGGTGAAATTGAAAACAAATGCACATGAAACTTTTTCTAAAGGCTCAGTTGGAGTTGTGGGTCAAAATTCAGGTTAGTGCTCATTTCTAATTCATGTATTAGATAAAAAACAAAGTGACGAGATACTCTGGCTTTTTCTCAGTCTCCTCCACCCAAAAAACTTTCATTTTGTCAGCTAGAAGCAATGGAAAGATGGGACATATATATACCTATATCTTTGTGCCAGTTAGAGGATTGATGTAATCCAAGGTCATTTCTCTTGCCCTATTATTCAAACTGTCATCCATAATTCATGGTGATTAAAGGGGGAAAGATGCTCATGTGGCTAAAACAGAGAACTGGGAATCGGGAGATTTACATTTCATTCTTGACTCTATCACTGATCTGTGTGTGACCTTGTGCAAATCACTTAATCTTTTTGTGTCTCAGTTTCACAATATGTCCAACGGGGATAATAATATATCTCTACCTTACAAGGTGTTGAGTATTACTTAAAGGTTGTAAAGCACTTTGAGATCCTTGTATTAAAGGCACTATTGAAGGGCAAAGTATTACTATTATTATTATTAGAGGCACAACATAGGGTGAGTAATATCTTTTATTGGACCCAAATATATTACCTACCCTACCTTGTCTCTCTCATATCCTGGGACTGACACGGCCCCAAACTATTATTATTATCATCAGAATTCTGAGCCAGATTCTATGGAAAGCCAATGAGAGGGAGCTAAGAGAAAGAAAAATTCTATTAAATTACCTTTGCCATTGCCATTGCTGCAAGATCATTACGTCTGTGTGGGCATGTGCATGTGTGTGTGTACTTGCTTTCCAGTTGAATGGGCAGGGAATACAGTCCTGAGATCTGTACAGTGCCTAGAGGATCCACTTGAGACGAAAGCCATCCATACTGAAGTCTGTGAAACTGCACCAGCCACAGGGCCCTGTTTCCCTCTCTCTTCCCAGGAAGCTGCACTGCCAGGGACAGTTCCGCCCACTGCTGATCCCACCAGTTCAAGAGGGGTTTACAGTGAAATGTTAATGCAGCCTCCTCTCAGGAATAGACCAAATTCAGCAATCAGTGGAGCTGCACTGGTCAATACCAGTTGACTTCAAGTGTAGACAAGGACAAGCAGGGGCTTGCGTTCTTTGAGCTAAGCATGATTGAGACCTGGTTCAAGTGTACTGAAAACCCTGTAGCCCAGATCTTCCTCACTAACTCTACTATTAGTGCCATATACATGTTAAACAAAAAGGGAGACAAGATGGAGCTCTCCATAACTCCCCACAAGAGAACCTTCAGGACAGAAGAACAACGCGTGTGGCCTGAAGCACTGACTCTACTGCCTGAACCTGTCCACAATATAAATAACCTGTACATCAGAGGGACTGGATTCTTAAAGTCCCTGGTCAGTAATATAAATTTTGTGACTTTTCATGGAATTTCTCATTTTATTAAAACGAATGAAGTAAAAACAAATATCTGCATGTAATAGCATCAAGGGTTTGATACAAATGCCACAGGAAGTATAACAAAAAAAATTTGATATTCTTCCATTGCTAACCCAACCAATTGTTCCAGGTACTGCAAGTATATCTAAAATCTCAGTGATTTCACATACATAACACTGCAGATGTAGAATAAAGATATGAGTTTCTTGTGTTTGGTCATATGTTACATTCATTTGGCCATACTTTAAATGATGATTTGTATTTATTTTAAACTAGTTGTATGATAAAGCTAGGACTAGATTCTATTCCCCTTATTCCCGCTGACTAGTACCTTACTCCATGGGTAACCCTACTGAAATGAACAGGACTACTTGGAATAAGGTACTAGTCAATTTGAGTAAGGGTGGTAGAATTTGACTGCTAGAGACTAGCTTACATACCATAGAATATAGATCTATAGTATTAAAAGTATTAAAAACTATTTTGTTCAAAGAGTCAGATTTCAGTGAAGTCTGTGATGCCATGAGAAGAAGTATGGGTTTAGTGGAAAGCAGCATAACCTTATAAGAGTATACCCCAAATGCTGGTTCTTTGACCTCTAATTCCCATGCTCATTTACAGCATTTCCTGTTAATTTAAACAGTATCATGAACCATACATTACAGCAAGGCTAAAACTAAACAGGAAATGCTCAAGCAGACCTTTGGTCTCAAAAGTGACTTAGTATAATACTGTATAATCTGACAAAGGATGTCTTTTGGTATCTTTCATTTGCTTTTAAAATGAATTCACTGCTCATGAAAGGAGTGACAGTGCTGAAAACTATTTGGCCACAGAAAAGACATGCTGGGCTTAATTCCCCATTGTCTCACAGCTTGTATAGGCTCTTGCACTTGTGTAAAGAGCTACCAAATGAGAATGGCAGCATTCTACAGCCATTCTGCCCAAGGTTTGCACTGTTGTAAATGGCTGTACAAGTTGGAAAACATGCTATTCCATACTTTGCCATTATGTCTCAGCACTGACTCAAAGAGTGCAAATTTAAAGCTGATGTTCAAAAGAACATATGGTCATATGTTCTTTTTTGCTTCTTAGTGGTTTATAAACAAACCCTGGAAGGTTTGGTTTTATTTTTTTTCTGCTTGTTAAAAATAAGAGATCTTGTCTAGCCTGGAAGCCAATAGTAACTGGAGCATTTGTGAAATAATGATATCTTTTATACCTCTGTCCCTTGTGAGAACTCATAAAACACATCTTCTGATACATTCTTCTCCTCTCTCCCCTTTCCCAGGTCCTGCAGTTAAACTAGGAAGGGCAAAATCTGACATATTTCCAAAGTTATTTTTAAAAAGCACAATATATATATATATAAAGAAATGGCACAAACTCACATTTTAGTTATTTACAGGCCATTTTTAAAGTATAGTTCATTCTGAAAAGTCCCTATGTAAAAATAGAATTTGAGGGTCCATATTTATTGTCCCTAACTAATTTTGACACCAAATATTTTCAGTTTATAAGTAAAAACCATTTGTTTAAAGTGTTAGTCATACACCCTCTCTCCCCCACACTCCCAGGATCCAAAAGTCCAGGTGTTTTTCTTTCCTTCTCATCCTCAGTAACAAAGATATTGCCGGCCAAATGATGCCTTCAGCTACAGGAGAAAAATGTAGTAAAACTATTCTGTCTTCAGTGCACAAGCATACTTGGCTGTCATTAGTTCACAATTTGTTGATGATAGACAAGAAGAAACAGAATCCAAGTCTCTCTCTCCGCTATATTTTTGGCTCTGTAGGGCCAACAGGAGTGAAAAGTTGTAAAATATATTTGTGGTCACTGAAATGTGCAGAATGCAGATATGACTCTACATATAAACAAGAAGCAGATCAATTGAGTAAGAAATTGCCATTTTTACATACTGGCTTTTCAGCGTAGAACCACATTTAAAGGACACAAGGGTAAATTCTTAATGTCCTTTCAACCTTCAGCCTTTCAGCTGAGACTACAAAAAGGAGCTAAATTATTGCATGTTGTGGTGGCAATTTCTAGTGTGGACATCTGCCACTAGGAACTATACTGAGACCAGGAGCTCGTTTCACATAGTCCAACATATAGATTTCAACAATTACTTCCCTTGGCCAGATTTGAACCAGGGTTCCACAGGTGAAAAGTTCTGTATGTTATCACCTCAGACATCCAACCCTCCAAAATAGTGTACCCTTAAACAATTACACTAACTCTTGCTAAAAAAATATATAGTATGTTTATTATTTGTCTGCTAGAGATCTAGCAGTTAGACAAGGTAAACATTTACATGAACTAGTAGTATCCCCAGATTTATATTAACAGTATAGCTATCAATCGTGGCTCCATTCAAGTCAATGAGAAAATCTGGCATTGGCTTCAGTGGAGACAGGATTTTACTCATTGTCTCTGCACAAACAAGGAAGAGCACATTTTCTCTTCTCTTCTCTGCTCTTCTCTTCATATTCTTATGCTGGGCCCATCCTTGTGTGTATTGAGAGTTGTATCTGTTTTTGATATGTGCTTTGTAAGAAACACAGACACAATTAGTGCTTTCCAAATGTAACATGAGAAAACTGCAAGGAAAATCTGTTCTATATGTTCTAAAATAGGTTCTAAAAGGAAATCATCAATACTGAAAAAGGGATTTAAAATAAATACATGCATACTTGACAATGTCATTTCAGTAACGATGACTTCTTGTTACACGTGGCAAAATCAGAGTGTGACAAAGCATGATCTGGAATTCTTTGTTATTGGATGTATTAAATAACAGCACAACTTCTGAATGCCCTGTTATGTGTATAATTTCTTCCATCATATTTTTTCATATTAACAGAGAACCTGAAATATAAAAAGCTACGTATTTAGACACCTGGTTTCTGCAAATCTGTAATGTTTTCCAGAGGTGGCAAGAGCTAACTCTCAGAATTCAACAGGGAAAGTAGAAGTGAACAATATGAAGAACATTCCAACAGTTGACCAGGGTGCCCAGTAGATACAGTAAGTGTCCTTCCATAATTTATATTCTTCCTCTTTCCCTTTCTTTTTGTGAAATTTCAGTTTGAAAAATAGGAAGGTCAACTGAAAAGGGAACAGGCAAACATAGAGCATATTACATCTCAGCTTACTAACAACTGTGAAATGAGACAGTTTAAAAATACATTGGGCCATATCCCACTCAATGTACTCATTTGAGTAGTCCCACTGAAATCAGTGGGACTACTTTCATTTAATAGGGCAGAGAAGACCAGGATTAGTCCATTGTTCCTGAAAGACCAGTAGAATGTATGGGCCAAGTGGTATATTGGTGAGTTTGGACTCCTTTAATAAGGTGCTGTGACTTGGTGGTAGCATAAATATCACCTAATTGCAGCCACTCTTATGTTAACTAATTCTTTTATATTGCAACAGTTAAATAGTTAGGTAAAACATGCATAATTGCAGAGGCAAAAGATTTGTTAAGGTTGTCATATCTCTCTTCTAAAAATGTGAATAGAGGATTGTAATTTTAAAAACTCATTAATGCTCAAACATTAATAGGAAGTAGGTCTGAAACAAACAAAAGGAAGAACTTCTTCACACAACGCACAGTCAACCTTTGGAACTCATTGCTAGGGGATGTTGTGAAGGCTAAAACTATACCCAGGTTACAAAAATAACTAGATAAATTCATGGAGGTTAGGTCCATCAATAACTATTAGCTAATATGGACAGAGATGCAACTCCATATTCTGGGTGTCCCTAGCCTCTGATTGCCAGAAGCTGGAGTGGACAATAGGGGATGGATCACTCAGTGATTGTCTGTTCTGTTCATTCCCTCTGACTACCTGGCATTGGCCACTGTTGGAAGACAAGATGCTGAGCTAGATGGACCATTGATTTTGACCCAGTATGGCCATTCTTATGTAATTCAAGGTTAAGATTCCTGTACCATCCTCATCTTTGTGCTCTCATCCCCAACTATATTTTCATTTTGCAATCATAGATTACAACAGCATGGGTCTTTGATGATGTGACCCATGCACACCCTTTTATCATGTACAGCTGGGGAACTATTGCCAGTTTTGCAAAGATTTACACGGCACTGAGAGGTGAGCCTGTTGCCCACATGTGAAGGGAGCGCAAAATGCAGGTTAATCTCTTGCCTACATTTGGAGTTTAGGGTCTCTGATCAGTACTGGAAGGGTGAATGGGGTACATGGGATTTCCAGATGACATCTGGATAGTGGATGGGAACAGAATAGTGTATGTGAAAAGTAAGATATAAGGCATCAAAATGCACATACAAAATTTCAGGTGGGATGGGGTTATGTGTGAGAAAGTTCAGTCCAGGGATCAAAATTGGATTTATAAAGTGAATTATAGTATAGCTTGGAGCATGAAGGGAGCTACCATCACAAGGCAGCAGTAACACATGCGTGCTTTTTTTTTTTTGATGTTTACTTTTTCAATCTCATGAGATTTTATCATGAGTCTCACAATATTTGGTGGTTTTTCAAAGCCTTAGCTCCAACAGTCCTGTGATTACATGAGAATATCAGCTTTCATTTAAAAAAAAAAAAGAGTAAATTTCTAGCCCTCATTGTTGTGGGTGAAAAAAGCTTGAAAACATGAAACATACAGGCTCAAATGCCAGAAGAATCCAAATTTAAAAAAAAATCCAAATGTGTTATTTTTAAAATCTCATGATTTTTAAACTAATCTCATGGTTGTCTGAGGTCTGATGAAATATAGGAGCTGGCAATACTTCAATATCTTAGTTTCAACAAACACAATATAAATAACAATAAAGCACATAATACACGGTCACTGGTGGACTTTATGTGACACTGGCAAAGAATCACAGAAAGAGTCACTTTCTTCTAACACAGAGCAAGGAACTCTATTGGAAATAAGGAAAACAGTGTTCCTTCTAAGGCCTTGTCTACACACAAAAGTTGTACTCTTTTAACTATACGGGTGTAGTTAGAGTGGTACAACACTGTAGATGAAATTATAGTGGTATAAATGTACCTATATCAGTGTAGGTAATAAGCTATCCAAGTATAAGGGCTAGTCTACACTGGCAACGTTAAAGTGCTGCTGTGGCAGTGCTTTAACGTGGTTTGTTTGGTCGCGGCACAGCTCTGGGAGAGAGCTCTCCCAGCGCTCTAGAAAAACCACCTCCATGAGTTATATCTTTATATTGGTATAACTGCACACACACTACGAAGGGTTGTACCAGTGTAACTATTTTGGTAAAAATTCTCATCTCTGACTTAAATAGTTATACCAGTACAAACATTGTGGGTAGGTCATGCCTAAGATTTTGTCTAGGCTAGGTCTTAAAGGTGTGTTAGCTAACACGTGCTAACTAACATGTTCTAAGTCCAGTGTAGACAAGGTAGTGATTACTTTAACATGTTGTTAAGCTTGTTTTAAAGCCTAAGTTCCCCTTGATTTTAACTCAACCAGCTCAGTATGTATTAAAACACACACTGCCTTGTCTATCCCAGAGTTTTGTAACATGTTAGTTAGTATGTGTTAGCTAATATGTCCATAACATAATATGACCTTTAAGTAGCCTAAAGCTATTCTCTCTGCTTCATTGCAAAGCTTCTGCTTCGAACCTTGCCAGCCCTCTCCTGCCTGGCTCTGGCTTACTGATTTGAAGAAACAATACCCATACCTCACAGTAAGTAGAAAGAAAGGATTGGATATCCCTTATTTAGAAAGAAGGGTCCTTAAGTTACAGGGACAAAAATAATAATGAGATAAAAATCACATCATAATGTTACCTTTAGAACACTGAATATTAACTAAAATACATGGTGGGTAGTTCTCAAGTTTTAGTAAGCAATTCTTTGAATGAAGAAAAAGTCTTTATTTTTGTGATTCTTTGACACAAAATGCCACACATGATCAATCTGTGTTGGTGAAAAAATTATTCCAGTTCTTTAGAATAACTTTTTAATAGAGAATATGTCCATAAATGTGACTCATTTATCCAGTAGAGATGGAAACATTTGAGATTCAAGGACAATTAGAAACAAGGATTATAAAATAGAAAAATAGAAATGTATTAATATTAAATGTATAGATTATAGTTTCTCAAGAAGTCAATATACAGATGGTGGAATATAATATGGGAGATTACATCAGAGGGCTATTATATTATAAATTAGACACTGAAATATCAACTGTCATGAGGAGTGTTGGAGTCCAAATAGCTCAAATAATCAACAAAAGAGACCGAGTAGCAGTTGGTTGTCTGGAAGAGATCAAAGAGACCCGGTGAATGAGATCTTTTATTGGATTAATTTCTGTTGGTGAGAGAGACAAGCTTTCAACAGAGCTTTTCTTCAGGTCTCTGAATAAGCCTGAAAGCTTGTCTCTCTCACTAACAGAAGTTGGTCCAATAAAAGATATTACCTCCTGGTATCTCTAATATTCTGGGACCAATATGGCTACAACAACACTGCATGCATGGAAGAAGTCAAGTTAGATGTATTCACAATTTAGGAGGGTATTGTTTTATTAGTGCTTAAAGTGCACTTCAATAATTTTTTTCGGGGTGGGGGGAGGTCTACATTGTCTTGATTAGGCATAAAGGTGTTTCTTTTAAAGTAAAAGAGAATAACTCCCCCCTCTCAATTTCAGAATAACCCCTCCTCCCTCTCAATTTCAGCTGATATCAACCCATTGCAAGTTGCATACTTTGATGGAAAATATTTAGGCACAGTGGACATAAAAGTTTATTTTAAATTAACAGAATTTGCTTCAGAAAACTGTATTCTGCACATTTTTATTTACATAAATAGTGATGGAAACTCGCAGAAATGTATCAACTTTTTTTTATTCACTGAGGAGCAATTATCAGTGATTAAAGGATATACTCTAATTAGTCCAGTAGCCTTACCATCCTAAACTTCAACAACATATGCAGACATAAATAGCAAATTGCACTTAATTTTGTGCTTTGAGTGCCTGATCTGAAGCCCACTTGAGGTCAACAGAAAGACTCTCATTGACTTCAATGTGTTTTGGATCAGGCCCTTAACTCTTTTTTTATGAGGGGCTGTTTTTGTTTTTAGAATATAGAGCAGAAACATTGACAGCAGATTCTGTTTTGAGAACACTCCAGGGACAAAGAAAGATAGGCACGTCCTTTGAAAGTTAAATGAACTATGACAATGTGTCACCGAATAAGAAAAACAGGCGAATTTGAACCAAGATTGAAAATGAACTGCAAAATGGAATTGTTAGCGCCTGTGCTCATTACAGAGCTGGGATTGAGGTAGTCCAATTAGTGCTCATGCATGAGACCAATAAACTCACAGTCTGGATAAACAGCAGTGGCCCCAGTAATAAAAGACGTTTTGTTCATGTTTAGGAGATTGTGTGGCGCATTTGTGAAATAGTAGATAATTGTGTTTTCCCTCAGTATTTCAGCATCAAATATTAACCTTATTTATTTTTGTAAAGACTTGCTCCACTTGGCCTCAAACATTGTTCTGAAGTGAAAAATAACATCTGCAATAAAATCACAATTTGCAAAAACCAATTTTAAGTCAGTAGATCTAGATTGCTTCTTGTTCGCAATACAAAGAGTTTTAGGAATTCTTTCTGTTCATCAACAAAGTATTATCCTTCAGTATCTAATGGTGAGAGGTTTTAATGAACAATGCCTGTGACCACAATATACATGAGTAAACCTATTAAAGGTATTCAACATATGTTGACTGAGAACAGATGAGAGCCTTCTGGAGAAAGAATTCCTTGCTTTCCTGAAGGTTTCTGTGCAAATTAAACTTTTTTTCTAGCTATAAGCAAGGAGAAAATACAGTTATAATGGGACTTGAATAATAAAATTTCGTATTTATGTTGTGATAGTGCCTCAGGATCCCCATCAGGGATCAAGTCCCCATGGTCTAGGCACTGTACAAACAACCAGATAATTTCAGATAAAGAGAGGGAGAAGGAGGCAGGAAAGTTGCAGGACCAAGGGGAGGTAGAGAAGGCCACTGTCAAAATATTTCAGAGTGTAATGAAAGGTACGTTCCATTTATTTTTATGTGTGTGTTCCAACACTTTGGCTGGTGTCATCTGTAGGGGAGGGTAGGAAGTTTGGCTCTCATCTTAGGAGTCCTCCTTGTTATCCTCCTCAAACCTGTCAACAGGTTGATAGCTTAGTACTAATTCTGTCACTTGTCTTTCCCATTCTCCTTACTGTAGCAATTGGCTAAGGAAAGGAAAAGAGTTGGAGAGGGGGCAGGAAAAGAGAGAAACAGGGGTTGGGGAGGAAAATGGTTGTTATATCAGAGACCGGAGGCCAAGGGAGTGGAATCAGGAGGAAAAAGCAAAAGTCTAGAAGAGGGGACTGGTGAAGAGGGAGAGAGACACAATACTAGAGGCTAGAGGATGAAAATGGAAGGGAGGCACAAAAGACTAGGGGAGTCCCAGTCCCAGATATATCACTTGCAAGCAGCAACACTTCTTCAAATAATGTACAAACTGGATATCCTTCTACTTCATTGTACCTGCGTGAGTAATTGGGGAGGGTGCACTTGCAGCCTGATGGCAGATCTGGTCTCACAATACTCATTCACTTCCACTAACATTTTAAACAAAAATCAGTTCCACTTTTTCATAGGTACTTGACACTTCCATGGATGCTTTGTTGAGTTTAATATAATTAATTCTCTTTACCATACTGATATCTAAGTTAAATCTAGTATAACAACTAGCCTTCACACTTTCCAAAGTCATTAATAATGTCATCCTTCTGACCTGCTGAGGGATCATAATTCTTCCACCTATTCCTTTAGAAAAATGATGATTTTGTTCCACAGTAGATAGTAATAAACATGGGCCTTATTCTTTTCTTAGACACGTGGTATATATTACCATATATCTGAGTTCTCTTGGTTAATCTAAGTGAGAAAGAGACTTCCCTCATGGCTTTTGTTTAAATTACCTTATCCTATTCCATTGATGTGGAGCTATAAGTCTGTGGGTAATATAAGAAGAAAAAATCATAGAACCAGAGTGTCAAAAAGGATCAGAGCTACAGGAAAAACAGGGTGAATCTGGCTACAGCTAGCTGCACAAAGATACAAATAGTCTGTGAAAACTTTTGAAACTTTTGAAACAAAACCACTTTAGTTTTGTGTGACATTTTTCATTTGTCAACAAAAAACAGAATACATTTTTTGGAGAAGTTTCATTTTGCTGTGAAAAAACACTCACTTTTTAACTTCTTTCCAATGACAAAAGGCAGAAGGCAGCAAAAAAAGTCAGGGAAAGTGGTGAAAAAACTACTCACAATATGCTCAGTACTGAACTGGCACACAATTCAGGTCGTTCCAGCACTAAGAAGCTTTAATTATAATAATTATTATTATTATTATTGCACTATGTATATATTGCACTATTTAAATTGTGATGACCCCTAGATGTCCCCAAAAGACAGTTTTAGATCCCAAAATGTTACATCCTAAGTAAAACAGATGGTGAGTACACAGGATATTCAGGGAAACTGAAACACAGAATAAGTAGGACGCTTTTGTTTTAAAAATATTCTAATATTATTATATTATTAAGTCAATTCTTGTGTCTTCATGGAAGAAGTGAGTCTTTCAGAGGGGTTTAAATGAAGACAGGAAAGTGTCTTGGCAGAATGGAAATCAAGAAAAGGCTGAGTATTGGAAAGTGCTTCCTGACCTGACAGTGAGATCTACCAATCTGTAGAATAGTTTCCCCAGGTACGCACCTCATCTTGAAGGCATTTAAACGCTGACTTATTTTTGTCCTGATTATAGTTTTGTCTTTGTCCATATCTTTTGTGAGTACAAAGTTAAAAAAGAAACCCAAAATAAAAGCCATTTCTTTGACACAATATCTGTCCTTGCTGTGAATATTGTTTTTTTAAAAAAACATCTCTTCCTGTTTTTGTTCTCAGGGAAACCATCGCATTAGCCCCAGCGAAAACAGCATACCATGTGTAATCTGTGGATTAAATGGATAGAAATTACAATGCTGCTTATTATGGTTGATGGCCAACTGCTCAAGCAGGCAAAGGCCCCACTGCTACTCCACAAACCTTTCATTGTTGTTTGGAATGCACCTACGGAACAGTGCAGACTGCGGTACAAGGTGGACCTAGATCTCAGAGTTTTTGACATTGCATCAAACACCAATGAAACTTTGAGTGGCTCCAATGTGACAATCTTTTATCACACTCATTTGGGGCATTACCCCTATTACTTAGACAATGGGGTTCCTATCAATGGAGGGGTGCCACAGAATGAGAGTCTGATAAAACACCTTAACAAAGCTAAGTCTGACATTGACCATTCCATACCCATGAAGAAATTCCAAGGACTTGCAGTCATTGACTGGGAAAACTGGAGGCCCCAGTGGGACAGGAACTGGGGTAATAAAACCATTTATAGAAATAAGTCTCTTGAACTGGTTAGGAGACACCATCCTCAGTGGTCAGAGGACAAAATTAGGAAAGTTGCTAAGGAAGAATTTGAAAATGCTGGCAAGAGTTTTATGAACAACACTATCCTTCTGGCTGAGCACATGAGACCGAATGGTCTATGGGGTTATTATCTTTACCCAGACTGCTACAATTATGATTACAAAGAACATCCAAAAGTATACACAGGTAGATGCCCAGACATTGAATCGTCCCGCAATGATCTCCTGCTTTGGCTGTGGAAAGAAAGTACCGCTCTTTATCCATCCATCTATCTGGATTATATATTGAAGTCAAGTCCAAATGCTCTGAAGTTCGTTCATTATCGGGTTAAGGAAGCAATACGTATTGCCTCAGTTGCTAGAAAAGACTATGTTTTGCCTGTTTTTGTTTACTCCAGACCATTTTATGCCTATACTTTACATGTTTTGACAGAGGTAAGCAGACATATATAGAAATCTAAAGATTAGAATCTCTTGGAAAAAGCACTTCCTAGGAGTTTCTCCTTGCATAATAACAGTTATAGATGCATTTGTGTTTCATATATAGAACTATCCTGGTAAAGAAAGACACTACAGTCATGGTACAAAACACTACAGCTTTCAATAGTGATCCTGCTGTGGTTTGGTCTATTACTGTAGAATAATGTTGTATTCTTTTTATGAGAGTAATTTAGAAGAAAATACAAAGCAATTGTTTCCTTAAGTAATTAAATATTTCAAATTAATTCTTCAGTTTGAGAAATGGAGTTGACAAATCTCAGTGAAGTTTGAAATCCATTAATATTAAGGGAAGATAAACGCTCATGAGAAAGGAATCTCAGGGTTGAGTTTATTTGTTTTCTTCCCAAAATGGAAGCTCACTTGGTACAGAAATGAACTAGACATATCAACTAGGTAAGCCCAAGTTTAGCTTGGCATTCCTAGCTCCTGCATGAGAAAACTTGCACAGAGGCAGAATGTGACAGCAGGCTTCCTCGAGGCTTCCTAGAGGAAGGATGAGTGTGTTCTCCTGGCCATATTGTTTTCTGAAAGTACAGTATGTCTGATTATGCACAGTAACTGAGTATCTGGTTTTTGGCTTTTTAAATCTACTGTATTACAGAAATACAATTTCTGTGTCATGTGACGCCTCTTCAGCCAATGATAATTGAAGGAAATATTTTAAAAAATACAATAAATATATGCAGGTTACAAAATAGGTGGTTGAGATATACACACAGACATTAAGATTTCTGATAACTGTGGTAATCATAAACCTTGTTTTGGATCCTGTCTATGCAACTGCTCAGAGCATGTAATTCCTGAATGGCTTCCTAAATAGCCTTTTGCTATAGGCTGTCCTACCCTGGGCATGGAAGGATTTGGTTTGATCCATACCTGAGGTGCGGACCCAGTTGGAGGGCAGGGAGCTACCTCCTGACAGGATTAATAGCCCTCTTTGGATATTGATGCCCCTCCCCTTCCTCCCTCCCAGCCCACTCTTGGGTCATGGAGAGCTGTGGTATTCCCCCTACAAAAATGGCATTGTGGTTGGTGGCTTGGAGTGATGTGGGCTCAATATCAGGGCTGTGTCCGTCTACTCTCACTTGCCATGGGTGTGTGTGCATATTCAGTCCCACAGGTTCCAGAGTGCTCCCATTTGACTGGTCCAGTTTGGAGCTATGAGTGGGGGATTCCTGCTGGAGCTGTGCAGACCCAGTCAGTCTCTCTGGCTGCTTAGTGAGGAAATACAAGGTATACAGCCACCTTTTCAGAAGCTTTCACTAACTTTGTGTGCCTCAGCTTGTTAATTCTCAGCTGGAGACTTCTCTGTGAGACATCAGAATTTCAGAGACGCTGGGAACTGCTTGTCCTCAGCACTTCTGACAATCAGGCACCAAGGGGTGAAATCCTGGCCCTGCTGAAGCCAATGGGAGTTTTGCTATTGACTTCAGCAGAGTTAGGTTTTAGTGGTAGCCGTGTTAGTCTGTATAAAAAAAACCAAGGAATCCTCGTGGCACCTTAGAGACTAACAAATTTATTTGGGCATAAGCTTTTGTGGGCTAGAACCCACTTCATCAGATGTATGAAGTAAAAGATACAGGAGCAGGTATAAATATATGAAAGGATGGGGGTTGCTTTACCAAGTGTTATGTCAGTCTAACGAGATAAATCAATTAACAGCAGGATACCAAGGGAGGAGAAATAACTTTTGAAGAAAACTTCAGCAGTTAGGATTTCAGCCAAGGTCTCTTCACCTGAGAACTCAAAATAGAGGCACACAAAGTTAGTGAATACTTCGACAAGCGTTGGCTCTAATAGGTATGTTCATCATAAACATACATAGATCTGGGGATTAAAATAAAAATACCATTAACACTAGCTAAACATCCTACAATATGAAATCTAGCACAATTATATATTATGCAAGCTATCGAACATATGAGGTTGTACAAAGTTAATTGTTTACCTTGAACTAGCTTCCACATTCAATAATAGTAACTTAAAATAATATTGCCCATAAGTTACCCTTTTATCCACTGAGCTGTCTTTTAGTTGCATATCACCTTCTTTTCAGACCTGGATGTTTCAGAGATCTTTTCTAAAACATTCAGCACCTGTGTGCACAGCCCATTCACAGCAGGGGGAATCCCCCATGAGGAATGTTCAAATATGTATTTTGTAGTGAAAACAAAATATATGTCTTCAAAGACTGATCATGGGTACCAGGCTTGTAGCTTCTCCAGACTACATATTTGGCAGCATGAGCTCTATGAGTGGAGCTTGGGAACCGGCAGGCTTTTTATAGATAGAGCACCGGAAAGAGCTCCAATGATCAGGAAAACAATGTTCATGGCTTTAATGTTTTAAATCTATTGTTTCATAGCTCTGATGTCCTCAAATGATTTTATATCAGCTCTTGTGAAACATACTTGGACACTGATACCTACTGTAATCTCACACTCTGCACTGCTCCAGTAGCAGACAGGACATCCAACTGTAGCTCAGAGAGTCAGCACTTTACACCTTCCTATGACCCCCATCAGCTACTCTGGGCAGCAAATATAGGGGGAACAGAAACAAATCTACTCACATTCCCCACCCCCCCTTGCTAACAATGCGGAGTAGCTCCCTGCTATAGTCATAATGTGAGCAAGGGGGGTAATAAGGACTTTACTCCCCCTTATACGCTACCATGGCTGAGCAAGAGTGGGACAGTCTAGCCCTATGGAAATTTAGCTTTTGTTTCGTTGCTGACACAATAAGATGTTGTGCACAAGCCCTAACATGTACAGTGCTAAAGATAAAGCAAGCACCACAATGAAAGAAGTTAAGTTGAAGCAACAGTTGTGGGAACCACCAGAAAGAGCTGCAGGTATAAGAGCCCCACGAAAGATTAAAATCCAGAGGCCAGGAATGTCCCTGCCGTTGTGTCCCCCTTGCCTCATTTCTCTTTACAAATCATTTGCCAACAGATCCTAACTTCTATGAATGGCTCTCTTATCTCTAAGTATTCACCACATAATTTATGCAAATGATTCTCTATATTGATGCTCTAGGGTGTTCAGAAAGTGTCCCCCTAGACTACTTGCTATTAATAATGTGTGATCAGTGATTGAAGTTACATGGCATTGTTTCTGCTCCCTGACTGGAAGAACAAATCTTTTCATAAAGCAGAATGACAAATAAATGATGAATAATGAATAACAGCGACTCTTGTTCATGTAGAAATACCCGTGTCCTCATGTCACGGTGTGTATTTGTACAAAGGCCATTCCCCATGAGCAAAGCCACCTTTGCACAAATATTCTCCCATACAGAATAAGATGGCATATGACTAGTTTGAAACAAAGAGCCATTCAGAATTTGAAGGAAAGAACACAAACATTTTTTGTTGTATGCGACCAGCTCCAATTGCAGCACCAGTTTCCTTTCATGTTGATAAATTTGAACAGTTTAGTGCTCCTCCTTCCATTTTTCAATACAAAATGAAATCACCCAGCTAATCAGCTTGTGGAAGGAGCCCTGGTGAGAGAGGAGTTCCCTTTTTGTTTATATGGCGTGAGGATTCTACTCTCCCCCAGGGGGCTAGTCCAGAACACCAGCACAGGAGCAGAATCTTGAGGGTCTTTGGTTGCTGGAAACAGCAACCAAAACTTGGAACAGGATCTTAAGCATCAGCAGAGAGAGGAGGAACCAGGGTATTGCAGGGAAATATTGGTGTGCTAAACAGCTATTGAGTCACAGAGGGGATGTTGAGCAGTTTGGGGGTGAGGGAAGATAAACCAGCATATTATAAAATGGAGCTTTTAAAATATTGCAAGTCCCTCTCTTTCCTCCATATGGCTCCTCTAGGGGTGGAGATGGAGAAAGCAAGGAGAAGAGCAGCTAACTACCTAGCCCATCTACTTATCTATGTACTTATGTGGCCACTGTCACCATAGGATCTGAGCACCTCACATTATTTTAATGTATTTGGCCTCACAGCACCCTATGAGGAAAGGAAGTGCTATTATCTGAAGCACAGAGAGGCTAAGTGACTTGCCCAACATCACATTGGAAGTCTGTGGTAAAGTAGGTAATTAAACCCTGGAGCTCCTGACACTGAAGCCAGTGAGCCCACCACCAGACCATACTTCCTTAAAAGTCCGTATTTTCTATTCTTCTTCGAGTGCTATCCCTGTGGGTGCTCTACTTTAGGTGTCAGTGCAGCCCTGCCGGACACTGCTACTGAAAATCTCCAATTGACAGTGCAGGGACGTACTGACACCTAAAGTGGAGCACTCATAGTGACACATCTTGAAGAACCTCAGTAACTGCTCAAGGTGAATAACCCTCTCTGTTCAGTTTTTGGTTCATTCAAATGTGTTTGATGTATTGATCCCTTTTTTTTGTCTGACTGAGAAGAGATCACCAAATTGTTAACGGGAGCTGAACTGTGTGTCATGCTAGTTCACTGTACCACCATGTGGTTGATTTAAAACAGTCATGGTCGAGGATTTGTGTTTTTATAATCTTTGTGAAGTATTTTGCAGAAGAAAAGGGCTAGGGATCATTCATTACCAAGAGTTTTAGATATATCACAAAGTCACTCAACTTTTCAAAGTTTGATTTTTGAGCCAAACATTTTTTTTTACTGCTAAACTAAATCCAGTAAAAAATACACCACCATTTTCAACATGAAAGTAACACCAGTGGCATACCTTACTCTCTTCTTCTGGAGAAAGCACTGAACTATATGATTTTAGTGATAATAAAGTGCTCTCAAGAACTGCTTGGATGATCAGCAGCACCATGAACTGCAGGTGAGCCCAATAACATGGTATAGTACTGTGAAACCTACACGACGGACCAGTAGGCAAACCCTGTTGTTTAAAATATCTTCATGATTTCCAATATTATTTTATCTGACCTTTAGTTAAAGGTCACCTCCACCACTCACTTGTCCCAGGAATCCTCCTCATATGCTTCTTCAATAATTCAGCACGCTCTCCTTTTCCTCATCCACTGATTTGTGTCTTCACTTTCTTGAACAAGAAGCATTTCAGGACAGGAAAGTCCTTACTTATAAACTGCTCGGTGCATTAAGAGAGTTGTGTGTGATTTTTAAAAAAAATAATAAATAATAATAATAATGGAGTCATCTAGTTTTATCTATCTGTATTTCTAACATACCTATTGCCATCACATGATCATCTCCTGAGCCCTTGGATGATTTCACAGTGATGCAGACAAGGAAACCGTATCAATATACTATCGAGTACCAGTGAGTTTATAAAATTTGCAGGTTTCAGAGTAGCAGCCGTGTTAGTCTGTATCCGCAAAAAGAAGAACAGGAGGACTTGTGGCACCTTAGAGACTAACAAATTTATTAGAGCATAAGCTTTCGTGGACTACAGCCCACTTCTTCGGATGCATAT